ATTTGACTTTCCAAGTTTGATTCTGGGCAAGATCCAGCTCGAATATCAGCTTCCTGAAGGAAAATTAAATAAAAGGCTTTCTGCTGGCCTCTAAATCGGCATCAGTTTCACACCCCCACCCAGCCTCAGTAAGTTTGTGTTCCCCTCCCCCTTCCCTCCGCCCGGCTAAGCTATTGAGGCGCAGTGCACTTATTTTGTTATCTCCTAATAACAAGTCAAATGGCGAATGTACCTGTAAACGAAGACAAAAACCATCGTGACAAAGACAAATCCAAACACAGTACAGCAAGCTATGATGATATAAGTCGTGCTGTCCTCTGGGGAAATAGAGAAAAAAATCCATGCATATCAGAATATGTAATCACGCTTTCGAAACTGTCGTTATTGAGCGCAAGTTCCACCACGAAAGCAAGAAGTCTCTGTAAACCTGAAAGCCAAGAATTTCCAACTACAAGAGATAGATTTTAAAAATGAGGGGTCGTGAGATGTGAGAAATATATTGTGGGAAAACAGCGCTTAAAATTCAAGAGGAGAACACGGAGAACTTCGTAAATAAAAGGCCTTGGAATTTTAAGAAACATTTTGAGAGGGGGTAATAGAGCAAAACATTATCGGTACATTAGTATAAAATTTTGTGGACACAACTGGGTAACCAAAGGGAGAACAATAGAAGCACACAAGCTAAGTTGAAATGGAATTTTATAAGAGACAGCTTCTCAGTACTTACGGCTGTCTGTTAAACAAAGCTCCCCGTCCCATCCGCACTCGGGACTATCATTCGGTGCAGTCGTTACCCCTCCAGGCCAAACGATGGTCACACCCTCCCTGATAGTAAAATTGTCGTTGTATCGAGTGTAATACGCGATGTCTTCAAATCGGTCATCGATCAGAGTTTGAATCACATAATCAGGATCTCTCTCGCCATTTCTGTCCATGTACACTGGGCCTGCGATACCTGGGAGCATAATGCGGGTTCATTAAAAAATAAATGCGCACGTTGTGTTTAATTGAAGGTGGGAGAGGGAGTGAGAAGGAGGAGGAGCGCTTCGGTCCTTTAGCATCGTTCTCTCCTAACTAAGGTATTTTCACCGATTGTTGTACGGAACTTTTAAAAAAGATTTTCCAAAAAAATTTTTTAAATTTTATTAATGGGGTATCTTCATTATCTTAAAGAGTGATCATTAAAACTATAATGGCGCACAGCACATTGAATGTGCTTCAGCATCGGTGAACTTCATGTTGTGCACAAGAAAACTAACAGACATTAACAGAATACCTTCATAAAGTCTGTTGTATGTTCTCTTAGCGACTTCTAATCCATTTCTAATACTTGTCCCCATTTCCAGAGTCTCGTTCACAGCTAGGGCGTACAACCAAACGGCATCGTACATTGTTCCTGCATACGCCTCCACCTGAGATAAGAGAAATGATATTATGTTTATTGATCAGGTGAAGAGACACGTCAATTATTCAATCTAAGATGAGCGCCAAGGTCACTTGGCTGAGAAAGTCTAACGAGCTTTTTGGCTCACTGTTTTACTAAAAATTTATAACGGCGCTTGTAAGTTCCAAAAGCATGATGAGATAAGGAGTACTGCCACTCCCTGAGACGGGATGTTAGCTCATTGCAATTACCTCCCACCCTCATCCCTAAAAGATCGTAGTTCTATTTTAATATTTGGATGTTTGTTTGCAAGCGAGAGGTTGTGGTATGCAGGCTGGGCTCGCAAACAGTCGCAGTTCCGTTCATTTTTCACTAATTTTGAGGAGTTTATGTGATACCAATTCATAAATTTTTTTCCCCAAAAGACACCATGAGCACCCCGGTCAGATGAAGTGGACTACCTGTACCCCCTGAGGCGGATGCAAAAAAAAACTGCCCATTAGTTACTCACCGTTCTGTTTTCTGGAAAGTCCACGTTAAACGGTTCTTGTTTCATTCGCTTCTTGATGCGGTCCACAAACGCCGATACTTTAGCGCCTGAACGCTTCTCTGTTCCAAACTTCTGTTCGATATTCAATACCCCTTCATAAGCTTTCTTAGCGTCATTATCTCTTCCGTCATTACCCATCCACGTGTTGTTGCCGATGTAAGAACTGCAATTCACATAATGACGTCACAGTGAATAACGAATACCTAAGCCCGTCAAATTTCGCTTCACAGACATAAAAACTCACCGTTTGGGCAAGTGGACGGTAATGAAAGCATAGTTTCCGTTTAACAGCCCCAGATCCAGAAAGTTCAACATGATTTCGCGGATGTCGCCTCCATCGCAGAGAAGTATAAAAACTGCAAATTAAAATTTTTTTTTAGCTGGAAAATTGTATTTATTTCAAGAGACCCAGTCGGTTAGTAAATCGCGGTTTCTAACACTACTAATTCTCTTAATTACTTTCATTTCGATTTACTGCCTCCTCCTTCCCCGGCCCGAAAAGGCGTGTTTGACTTTTGATCGCTGTCCTCCGGTGTGAGGAGAGGTCTTAATTAAACCCATTGACTCCTAAGATCTGATTGTTAATCCCCCCCTCTGGTGCTAATTTCCTGGTCAATTAGATGGAAGAATTTTGTGCTAGATCAAGATAATAATTTCTAACTGACGAATTTGAGTATTCTCATTACTTGTTTTACTGGAAAATGTATAGATATTATAGGAGAAGTTACATATAATGAAACGGTTAGTAGGACAGCATGGAAGGCGCAGTAACACTGTTATCGGAACCACTCCCCAGAAGTGTTCGTTTCTGATTTTTTATCCATCCTTTGGTTCGTTCTCTCGTTAGTTTGCTACTTCATTCATTTATACTTACTCATTGCACGTTTTGCTGCTCTACGAATGAGATCAGCGTGTCTTACAATCCTGCTCTCCAGAATATGAAGACGACCAGGTATAAAAGAATGAAAGTGGGCGACGTTAATTTTGTGTTTCAGGAGCTCAATCTTCACAAGATTAGCCGCGATCTGCCAGATGTCGTCGGTGGAGGCGATTATGGCTACTCGTTTCCAGTTGAAATGTTCCATCAGACGTTTAAGCAACTTTTCCATTTTGGTGTAGGGACCTTCAGAAACAAGAGAAAAGAGAAAAAAAATATGCTTACATAATAACACCGAACAATTCCTTCCTTAAGAAGAAGCGAGTAATGATATGTAATCTCTGATGAATTCGATGAACAGTGTCTGATTAAACTCACCTACAGTCCGTACAAATGTTGGGAAAGTGTTTCTGTTGGACAAATGAGCAGACATACACCCCCATGATATGACAGGCAGATTCCATTTTCCAGCCAACAAGCTGATGTATTCACACACTCGGTTACATCCACCCCCAATAAAGGCGTCAACTCCGCGCTTCTGCTGCGCCCAGAAGTTCATTACTAAAGGTAGCGCTGTGTTCGGTGAACAGTTTGTATTTCCGAACACAAACTGAAGCCGATGGTTCGGAAGAATAGATGGATCGTTGTTGATATCTTCGACGGCAATGGGCATCGCGGCGGCCGTCGTTCGACCAACATCCCACTCACCTGTCATGGGAGCAAGCGCCGCAATGGTGATATTTTGCTTCGGTTGCCCCCAGACATTGTACTTCTTGGCTGGGAGAAGATACAAGTAGAATATACCGACTGCAATGATTCCGTCGATAAGAACTCTCATTGCAAAAGTTGAATTCAAGTGCTTTGTCGTTCGCCTGGTTTTGCGTTCGCTGCCGAGTACACAGTGAAAAATATTTTCGCTGTTGATCTGTCAAAAGCAAATTTATCATTGGCTCTGACGACGGAACGGAAACATATGACGTCTTTTTAATTTTATTGTTCAAAGTGAGAGAAAGAGCTAAGGCTTTGTTAAGTCTTTTGCCGCCTGCGGAATGGTGAGGCTTCTAATTACGCTTTGTCGCCGCCCTTAGGACATAAAATGGTTTTTAAAAATGTTTCCTACCGATTGCAACATCGTATTTTGTTCCGTCATCTTTTCTATTTTTTTAGCTTAACTTGAATTTTTACCCAGCTTTATTCCACCACATAAAAAAGTGAAAACAAAGTCATCTTTTTGACTTTCGCACGCTGTGTTCATACACTACGAATTTCAGTCTGTCGAAGGAACGTAGAGAAAAAAAAGGAAATTTTCCCTCTAAACTTAGGTTTTTTTCTCTCTTTTTTCGGCGAAGGTGAATGCGTTGTGATCGAATTGTTTTTTCCTAAATGAGCTCCATGGGGATATTCCGCTGATAACGGTTTGGATGGCATGCGAGCTTAGGTATTGCACGCTATCGAATCTTGTACTCGTCCAGGACCTATTTTTCTTGTAGATCTCTTTTACGAATTTAAGAGATCCTCGCAGCTAAGAACACTGCTGAACTAGAAGTGGAAAATAGGACCTGAAAAAAATTCAGGCCCGTAACGGGATTTGAACCCGTGACCTTTGCCATACCGGGCCTAAATTTTTT